AATTGATGTTTCAACTTTACATGACTACTATTAGCTCAGATACCCAAGATGAAGAGAGTATTTTTATTTGTTTGTTAAACTAGTTTAAGAAAGTTACGGAAGTAATAAGTAATAAAAACATTTCAAACAATATGTAAGGCTCTACAAAAATGAAAAGTAAAAGGCAGCTTTCCTTGCTCTTGCCCAGATGTGTTAATCATGTGATTTTTAAAATTATCATTAAAGTTTATATAATTTACATTCTTTTCTGAAGCTATAATGTAGCTCAAAAAATGCACTCCATATTTTTGTCCAATAACTATTTATAGAAATACAAATGAAAGCATTTTGAATATGATTATATAAATATTATTAATTGTGGAACAAATAGAGTGATTATACACATAGAGAAGTAACTTTAAGTCATTGTAATTTTAATGCTTGATGGGGAATCTTTCATGTATCAGTTTTAGGATACCTTAAAAAATTTTTTTTCTAGATTCCTTTATTTCTTTTGGATTGAACTTAGTTCTTTTGTTTCTTATAAATTTTGAGTTCGTGCATATCTAAAATTTAAAAAAATTTTTCCTCTCACTTCATTTGTACTTTAGGTGGCTGTAGAATTATGGGTTCCAGATAATCTTCAGTAGGATCTTTGAGCCATTCCTCACTAGTATTCTAACAGACAGTTTATTGATGATAATTTGATGTAATCTCATTCTTACTCCTTTTTAGGAAACTCTTTAGCCCACTGAACATTTTTAAAATGTTCCCTTTAATTTTAGAATTCTGAAATTTCAGTAGGCTGTGTTTAGGTTTGATTCTTTGTTCATTAATTATGTTTGGTTCTTGGTAGGCCCTTTCATTCTGAAGACTCCTGTCATTCTTCAGGTTACTTTTTCTTTTTTATTCTGTACTCATTAGTTTGATGCTGTACATCTGTATTTCTTTATATCTTTATTTTTTTCCCTTATATTTTCCTTTGCTCCTATTTCTGGGAGATTTCTTCAACTTTATTTTCCATATCTGTAACTTGATTTTCAGGCATGGTTTTCAGCCCATCCATTGAGGTATTTTTGTTTTTGCAATGATTTTAGTTCTAGAATCTCTTGAGAGTTGTCATATTTGTTGTGATATCTGTTGTAACACGTGCTCTGTTCTGTATCTTTCAGCCCCCAGTTTCTGTGCTAAGAACCGTCCCTGGGCAGATTGCCTACTTTCCTCAGAGAACAGTTCTCAGGAATTGCTGATGGCAAAATCTGTTGTCATTAACTGCTGTTTCTGGAGCTGACTGTACTTTGGCCAATTGCTGCTTTTTGTGTTTTTTTGACTCTAAATGTAGAACTTCTAAGATTTTCCCTTGGAAGATCTAGCTTACCTTGGGTATCTGGAATATGTTTTTTAAAATTCTTTTGTCAATCTAATACAATCTATTGTCTGGATTTCTCAAAATTTCTGGTCTACTGATAGCACTCCTTCTTATTTATTTATTTACTTATTTTTTAAAACAATACCATTTATCTCATTTCACTGGTATCTTGAGAGAAAGGGGAGGTAGATTGGAGTACTCAGTCCATCAACTAGAAATTTAAGTTGTGCATATGTTTTAAGCATAGAAAACAAAAATAAAATAACAGCAATAAAACAGAAGATGATGCCCTCTTTTCTTCCTCCTTCTGTACTCCTCTCAGTCTAGGACTCCTCCCAGCCTAGGACTAGTTAAGCAAGAGGAACATCCTTGCTTATAGAGATCAGGTTTATAGATTATTTTAAAATTAGGAAGGCACTGTTATTAGAACGGAATTTCAAAGGGAAGATAAACACACATATTGTTTGTATATTTTGTTTTGAACATTTGATTATTTCTTGGAAAATGTATGCCTTCCTGTTGTCTAGAAAAAATGTATCAAAATTCACTATCAGGAATGTATATCCATATGTTTTCCTTTAAACTCTTCTAATGAATTACTTTTTTTCCGATAGTGTACCTTTCCCAACACTGGTGCTCGTATCATGATGTTCATTGGTGGTCCAGCCACTCAGGGGCCTGGAATGGTGGTTGGAGATGAGCTGAAGACACCTATAAGATCATGGCATGACATTGAAAAAGATAATGCCAAATATGTTAAAAAGGGAACTAAGGTAATTTTGGTTTTGAAGTCTTTTTGCCTTATTAGAAAATTTCATTTGATGGAAGAAGTATACAAACATCTTATGATAAATCTGATGTTGTGATGATACTGCAACTGCTATTCAGAATTGGAGAAATAGTATTTTTTTTGATAATTTACATTATAATTTTTCTCATTTTAAGTATTTAATAACTTAATAGTGGCCATCAGTAAATATCTCTTTAAAAACTACTCCTGAGAGAAACCCTGTATGCCTTTTTTAATACTCATATTAAAGAATGTATTTCCTATTAGGAACAACTCCTTAAATTTTTCAATTCTTCATTTCTAAGAGGCTGTCCTTTAGATATGTATATTGTTCATAGCTGAGTCCATCATTTTCTCATGAGTTGTCTTCTGTTCATGTAAATTCAGTTTTATCTGGGTTTGTGTCAGCACATTTTCACTACTGTTGATTTGTGACTCCCTTATTGGTTCTGCTTGTTAATATCTACCTCCCCTCTTTCTATTTTTTTTTTTTTTTACTTCTCTAGAGTTCACAAGTTTAGTTTAGTTGTGCTGTATTATCTCATATTTCTTTTTGGTAGTCATTATTTATTATATTTTTAAAGGTGTAATTAAAAACAGATCATTTTTGTCACTGTTAATGGAAGCTTTCTTCCTGCGACCTAACTTGCCTTTTGAGCTTGGAATTTTTCTTAGAGCTTCAAAATAAGTTTTATATTTGTTTATCTTAATGCTTTTGTTATTGTATCTCTATTTTTGATGTTACTTGACTGGATTTAGTCAGGAAAAAGTATTCTGTGTTGTTCTACCATGTTTATGTATGAAGAGCAAGATGTTCATTATGCCTTTCTTCAAAGTTAGCTTAATTTAGGCATTCATTTAGAAATAACGGCTTTTAAAAAAATAATGTGCAAGCTTGTGCACAGACTTATGGAAGGTATTGTATCATAAGACATTATGAAAATTATATTAGAACAAATCACTTTTAAATAATTATGGATTATTCCTTTAGTTTTTCTTAGATCATTTTGATCTATTAATGGGAAAAAGATTTATAGGGCAATTAAGTTTGTACATTGCTTTGATTTGATTTTAAAAAATCTGTTGTAGCATTTTGAAGCATTGGCTAATCGAGCTGCTACGACTGGTCATGTTATTGATATCTATGCATGTGCATTAGATCAGACAGGTCTTCTGGAGATGAAATGCTGTCCTAACCTTACTGGGTATGTATTTAAATTCATATAAGTTTTGCTGTTATAAACTAATTGTGACAAGTTTACAAATATAAACAAATAATGACAGTTTTGAAAAAAAAAACCAAAGCAGTCATCATCCTACCACTCCAGGACAACAGCTATTAACAGCTTTTGATACTCCTTTCAGTGAAGCTCACTTTAAATTTGTTCTAAAATGCAATTAAAAAGGCACAAGTTCTGTTTTAAAAGCTCATCTTGATATCCTGCATTGTTTTATTTCATTATTTTAGTAGCTTTTTTGAGATGTAATTCACATACCATAAAATTTACTCATTTAAAACATATAGTTAATTTTTTTTTAGTATATTCCAACCATCACCATAATTTAATTGTAGAACATTTCATTACCCCAGCAAGAAACTCTGTACCCATTAGCAGTCACTCCCCATCCCTCTTTCCTTCCCCTTTCCCTTCCTCTTTCAGCCTAGACAACTACTGAGTTTCTGTCTCTATAGATTTGGTTATACTTGATCTTCAGGGGAAACCATTTTGTCTTTCACCATTAAGAATGATTTAGCTGTAGGTTTTTGTAGATGTCTTTATCAGATTGAATAAGTACCTATCCCTAGTTTGTTGAGGTTTTGTTTTTGTTCATGAAAGTGTGTTGGATTTTGTTAAATGTTTTTTTCTCTGTCAACTGAGATGATCATATGATTTTTTTCCTTTTTTTTTATTAATACGGTGTTTTGCAGTGATTTAGTATGTTAAACCAACCTTGCATTCTTGGAATGACTCTCACTTGTGAATAATCCTTTATATATATTGCCAGATTTGGTTTGCTAGTATTTTGTTGAGGTTTTTTTACATTTATCTTTATAAGGGATTTTGATCTGTAGTTTCCTTTTCTTGTGATGTCGTTGGTGTTGGTGTCAGGGTAATACTTGCCTCATAGAATGAATTGAGAAGTATTGTTTTCTCTTCCTTTGGGAGTCATTGTTTTGGGGATAGTTTGATTAGGCTTTATAAACCTCAATCAAGTAAGTCAACTCATTTCTTAAGTTTATTTATGTATTTATTTAATTCATCTAGTGAATATTAGTGAGCACCTACTACGTGTCAGACTGTTTTAGATATTGGAGATACAGCAGTGAACTAAACCTAGAAATCTGCCTTCATGGATCTTATCTTCTAGTATAGGACTGTTCAGTGTTATTTTGTATTCATCATATTCTCTGTGTTGTCCCATTGCAATGTGACAAGTATGACTGGGGAAATGAATTTTTAGTTTTATTCAATTTTAATTGATAGACATTTAAATTTAAATAGCCACATGTTAGATGGACAGTTCTAGTGAGAGGAGATGAGACAAGTAAAGTAGATAGTACGTCAGATGGTGATAAATGTTAGGGAGAAAAATAAGTCAGGACATGAGGATAGAGGTTTGCAGTTCTAAATGGGGTGAGAAGGGAAGGCCTCATTAAAGGTGATGTTTTAGCAAAGACTTATGGAAGTGAGAGAGTTAGGCACACATGTACATGAAAGAAGAGTGTTCTAAGCAGAGAGAATAGCAAGTGCAAAGCTGAGAATGTACCTGGCATGTTTGAGAAATACTGAGGAGGCCAAAGTAGCTGTACTGGGGTGAGTCAGAGGGACAGATTGTGAGGGAATTTTTACTATTGTAAGGGCTTTGGATTATGCTTGGAATGAGGTGGGAAGTCATTGGAGAATTTCTGGCAGAGGAGTGATGTGATCTGACTTAATATTTTAAAAGAATCATTTGACTTCAGTTGTCTTCAGTAGAGGAATATAAGAATACCCAGTGGGGACATCACAGGTGGTGAGAAGTGGTTCGATTTTGGGTATATTTAGAAGGTAGAGGATTTTCTCATAGATTGGATCTAGGGTTTGAGAAAACCGAAAGACTTTACTGGAAGGATTGATTTGCCCTTTATTGAAATGCATAAGAGTGAGTCAAAGAATATTTGGGGAGAAGATTAGAGCTCAGTTCTGAACATGTTTGGTTCAAGATGCCAGCAGATATCCATGAGAAGATATTGAGTAGGCAGTTGGATATTAGAACCTAGAATGCAGAAGATAGGTCTAGATTTGTATCTGGAGATATAAATGGAAGTTGTCAGAATACTGGTGGTTTTGTAGAGCAATAAAAATGGATAAGATTCTAAGATTGTGTAATTTAACACTACAAAGATCATTGGTGACCTTTTTAAGAGCATTGAAAGTTGACTTAGAGTAAATAAGAAAAAGAACAGGAGGAAGGGATTGGAAGCAGCTGACATACACCGGAGCTTCTCAGATTTCGTTTCACTTGTGCAGGTCAACTGGATATCTTGTTAAAATAGATTCTGTATTTAGTGTACTTAGAGTGGGACTTGATTTTTATTTTATATTGGGGGGAGGTAATTAGGTCTGTTTATTTATTTACTTTTTAAATGGAGGTACTGGGGATAGAACCTAGGATAGAACCTTGTGCATGCTAAGCACGTGCTCTACTGCTGAGGTATACCCTCTCCCTAGAGTGGGACTTGAAATTCTGCTTTTCCATCAAGAGCCTTGGTGATGCTAATGTTGATGGACCAAGGGCCACACTGAATAGTAAGGGTTAGACAGCTCTTTTATAGAAGTTTGCTGTAAAAGGGAGCATATAAGCAGGATGTGGTGTAAGTTGCTATTAATTTAGGATGCATTACTAGGTTTAGTGATACCATAGACCATCATAGATGACATGTTTGTAAAAGTAGAAAATCTGAAAAAATCTACATACAAACTGTTAGAATTAGTATGTTGTCAAGGCTTCTAGATCAAGGTCAGTGTACAAAAGTCAACTGTATTTTTATATATCAGTAACAAATACAGTTGACCCTTGAACTACTTAGGTTTGAACTGTGCAGGTCCCTTTATATGTGGGTTTCTTTCAATCAATACGTACTTCAGTACTATACAATCCGTGTTTGTTTGAATCTGAGGTTGTGGAATCATTAATAATGGAGGGTCTACTATAAAGTTTTACATAGGTTTTCGGCTGTGCCTAAGGGTGGGTGCCCCCAACCCCTGCATTGTTCAAGAGCCAGCTATAAATAGAAAATAAAATTTAACAAGATACAATTTATAATAGCATAAGAGATAATGTAAATTAAGACTTTAACAGTATCAAAAATAAAATCACCAACCATTGATTAATTATACCACATCAGTTTTATTCTTTTGCCTAATTTAATTTTTTATTATATTTTAAAAACTACTTAAAATATTTTGAAGATACGAGCAAATATATATACATATTTTATGCAAATATGTATACGGATGTACAGATCCCCTTCATAATTTAAACAGTAGAAAATTTTATCTTCCCCTACTTTGCATTTTTTACTTACATCCTGAAAGTTGGTCTATAGCAGTATAGTTTACCATTGAACAATTCAGAGATTAGGGGAACTGACCCTTTGAGTGATGGAGAAAAATCCCAGTGTAATTTATGGTTGGCCATCCATAAACGTGGTTCCTCCATATTTGCAGTTCTGCATCCTTGGATTCAACCATCTATGGATTTACTATTGAAAAAAAACCTATGCATAAGTGGATCCATGCAGGTCAAAACCTATATTGTTCAAGGGTCAACTGAATGTTATTCCATTGTGTGGATGTACCATATTTTATTCAGCTAGTCTACTAGATGGGCATTTGGATTGTTTCTAATCTTTTATTATTATAAATAGTACATCAGTGTATAGACTTGTGCATAGATTTTGCTTTTTGGTTTTTTTTTTGCTAGATTATCTTTAGGATAGATTCCTAATAGTAGGGTGACTGGATTAAAGAGAAAATATATGTGTAATTTTGTTAAGATATTGTCAAGTTCCCTTGCACTAGGGTTGCACCATTTCCATTCCCATCAGCAGTTATGAGAGTGCCTGCTTTTCCACAGCCTTGTCAACAAAACATTGTCAGACTAATTTGCTAATCTATTAAGGTAGAAATAGCATCTCAGAATAGCTTTTATTTGACAGTTAATTTTTTTAAAAGTTAAAAAAATCTATAAAGATATATGCTACTGAAAAAAAAACTTACGTGCATAGAGTGAAAATACTTCTAAGATATCCTTCTGTTCTCATTCAGTGGGTATAACACTATTAAGTTTGATGTGATGCACATAGACAATTATTTGTAACAGATACACATACACACATAGATATTTGTCATCAAGAATGAGAATGCATGCCATGAACTGTGAGCTGTCTTTACTGGTAGGGAGAACTGGGTGACTGGGGTGGGAGAGACATATTTGTTACTGTGTACCTTTTTGCACCTTGTGAATTTTGTAATGTGTGGGATGTATTACTTATTTCAAAAAGGATTTCAAAAAATCACTGAGGACAAATACAAGTGTTAGGGGCACTCACGTATCCTCAGGATTGATATTATTTGTGGGATTTTTTTTCATATATTTGAGTTTTTAAAATTAATGGTAATATTGTACATTTTTGGGAGATATCTTTAAATTTTCTTGGTATTGTTGAGAAGTAATTTATTTTTCTAGTTTTAACACATGGACTCAATACTTGTGTCACATTGTTTTTTGTTTTTTCCACGCAGAGGATACATGGTAATGGGCGACTCTTTCAACACTTCCTTATTCAAGCAGACTTTTCAAAGAGTCTTTACCAAAGATATGCATGGACAGTTTAAAATGGGCTTTGGTGGTACATTAGAAATAAAGGTAAGAACCAAAATTTGACATGTATGGTATGTTAACATGAAAGAAATTTGTAAGCTTGACCATAATTGATACCTAACTGAACGCACAAATGATAAGAAAGCCGAACAGCCTGATTGCTAAAATGGAGAGAGTTTTGGTGATCTGGATAGAGGATCAAACCAGCTGTAACATTCCCTTAAGCCAAAGCCTAATCCAGAGCAAGGCTCTAACTCTCCTCACTTCTAAGAAGGCTGAGAGAGGTGAGGAAGCTGCAGAAGAAGAGTTTGAAGCTAGCAGAGTTGGTTCATGAGGTTTAAGGAAAGAAGCCGTCTCCGTAACATAAAAATGCAGGATGAAGCAGCAAGTGCTGATGTGAAAGCTGCAGCAAGTTATCGGGAAGGTCTAGCCAAGGTCATTCATGAAGGTGGCTACACTAAGCAACAGATTTTTCAATGGAGATTTAATAGCCTTCTATTGAAACAAGATGCCATCTAGGACTTTGAGAGCTAGAGAAGAGAAGTCAGTGGCTGCCTTCAAAGCTTCAGAGGACGGGTGACTCTCTTGTTGGGGGCTCAAGCAGGTGATGACTCGAAGTTGAAGCTAATGCTCATGTACCATTTCCAGAAACCCTAAGACCCTTAAGAATTATGCTAAATCTACCCTGCTAGTGCTCCCTAAATGGAACAACACAGCCTGGAGGACAGCACATCTGTTTATAACATGGTTTACTGAATATTTTAAGCCCGTTGTTGAGACCTACTGCTGAGAAGAAAAGATTCCTTTTGAAATATTACTGCTCATTGACAGTACACTTAGTCACCCAGAGTTCTGATGGAGATGGACAATGAGATTCATCTTGCTTTCATGACAACATCCATTCTGCAGCCTATGGGTCAAAAAGTCATTTCAACTTTTTAAGTCTTACTATTTAAGAAATATATTTTGTGAGGCTATAGCTGTCATAGGTGGTGATTCCTCTGATGAATCTGGGCAAAGTAAATTGAAAACTTAAAAAGAATTCACCATTCTAGATGCCTTTAAGAACATTTGTTTCGTGGGAAGAGGTCAAAATATCAACCTTAACAAGTTTGGAGGAAGGTGATCCAACGGTCATGGATTAATATGAGGGATTCAAGACTTCAGTGGAGGAAGTAACTGCAGATGTAGTGGAATTAGCAAGAGAACTAGAATTAGAAGTGGAGCCTGAAGATGTGACTAGCGCTGCAATCTCATGATAAAGTTTGTATGGATTAGGTCTTGATTCTTATGGATGAGCAAAGAAAGTGGTTTCTTGAGATAGAAAATGCTCCTGGTGAAGATACTGTGAAGATCGTTGAAATGACAACAAAGGATTTAGAATATTAAGTACGCTTAGATGATAAAGCAGCAGCAGAGTGTGAGAGGATTGACTCCAATTGTGAAAGAAGTTCTGCTGTGGGTAAAATGCTATCAAACAGCATTGCATACTGCAGAGAAATTGTTTATGAAAGGAAAAGTAATTTGATGCAGCAAACTTCATTGTTTTCTTATTTTAAAAAATTACCCCAGCTACCCACAACCTTCAGCAACCATCATCACCCTGATCAGTCAGCAGCCAGGATCATTGAGGCAAGACCCTTTACCAGCGCAAAGATAATGCCTTACTGAAGGCTCAGATGATGGTTACCATTTTTATTAATAAAATATTTTAAATTAAGTTATGTACATTGTTTCTTAAGATAATGCTATTACACACTTAATAGACTATAGTGTAGTGTAAACATAACTATGTAGCAAAGTTATATAATGTACGATTATAAGATTACTTCAATACCTAATAAAACGTAAATGCTATGTAAACAGCATTGCGTGTGCACAAGCAAATTCAAGCTTTGCTTTTTTGAACTTTCTGAAAACATTTTTTTTCAAAAGTTTTAATCTGAGATTGGTTGACTCTGCAGTTGTGGAGCCCACTGACATGAAGGACCGATTGTATGTTCTTATTTTGCAGACTTCAAGGGAAATAAAGATTTCAGGAGCTATTGGACCCTGTGTGTCTCTCAATTCTAAAGGACCCTGTGTGTCTGAAAATGTAAGTCACCTTTATTCTAAAAAGAAAATACAGTTAATTCTCTGGGAAGATCCGACAAAGACCTGGGGTGACAGTCAATAGCATTCCTTTCAAAATTACTGTTTGGGCTGTTTTTCAGTGCAATGTGGTTCAGCTTCCACTGGTATACCTCTGTTTGTGGTTGTTCTTTCTGCATGCCCTTTTTCTTGTCCATCCCTAAATTAAAACTTTTGTACTGTCACCAGTCTTCTATTTTTTTATGCATAAATTATTCCTTGCCCCAGTGTGCCTAAAAAACCCAACAACTATAATTTGGAAATTTGGAGACTTCTGAAAGTCAAAATTAATTCTGAAATTTTTTTTTTTTAGTAGAATTTCCATCAAAGTAACCAAATCAGCCAGATTTAAGTTTCAATTCCTTTCTTTTCTATTATCCCATCTAGTGGACATACCATATGAACACTTGTAGAATGGTAGAATCATGTAGCTGTGGAGAGAATGATGGAACAAATGACAGAGTGGGCTTTATAATGACAGAGTTTGAAAATTAATTTTAAACAGTTTGCATGGTAAAGATTTATATCTAAGAAGTTTTATTGGGAATTAGACTGCTTAAATTATGCAGCTCTGATCCAGAGAACCTATATTCATATACGCATATCCTATATGTTAAATTAACATCTCTTTACACAGATTAAATAGTTGGATAGAAGGATAATGTTAGTTGTAATTACTTCATTAAATGATGTATATTTTTAAAGTCTACAATATGAAGAACTTGTATTAATATGTGTAATTTACTTAGCAAGAGTTTGGATCATTTTATGATTTTCTTTGTGTTAAAACTGCTTAATTTTATTTCATGATATATTTATACAATCTTAAAAAAATTTTTAAGCTTCTAACATTTACTGAATTAGTTAGAATCTGGAAATAAGATTTTTTCTTACTGGCATTTTTCCTCTTTTTGCCTTCATATACATAGTAATAAATTGTATTCTGTAGCTTTTGAACATACTATGTTTTATTTTTACAGGAGATAGGAACAGGTGGCACTTGTCAATGGAAGATATGTGGACTCAGTCCCACTACAACCTTAGCCATATATTTTGAAGTTGTCAACCAGGTAGGACTTTTTATGTGTATTTGAAAAAAATACTTATTTTAGGCCATGAATATTTCCAGAGCTTGTGACTCAAAGCTTATTCTGTTTTGGAGGTTTTGTTTGCCATTTTCTGTTCCTCAAGGCTAAACTCCTTGACGAGAGGACATACTGCAACAAGGTGTCAGGGAAGCCTGCAAATGCCCAACCTTGGGCAACCCAGCTTTCAGTCTCAGTTTTCTTTTTTCTGTTTTTAATATAAAATTGAAGCATAAATAAAATCTTAAATTCTGTTCCAGTTATGCATTTTTGTAATTAGGTATCTACCTCCTCCTAGTTGTCACAGGGTGTATAGTGATATATGAATCCTCCTATAAGAAAGTTTAATAATATCAAAATCCATAGAAAAAGACTGTAAGGTAAAGGTTCCAATATTTGGAGAGATTTTGTCTTTTGCTGCAGGTGGAAGTTGTCATATTAAAGAATGATATAATGTATCAATTATTAACTTATATACTAATAGTAATTAGGCATATAATGAACAACAAAGTATTAGTAGTTGGCCTTCCTCAGACAGGTGCAGGAATTTTTTTTTTTAACATTTTTTATTGATTTATAATCATTTTACAATGTTGTGTCAAATTCCAGTGTTCAGCACAATTTTTCAGCCATTCATGGACATATACACACTCATTGTCACATTTTTTTCTCTGTGATTTATCATAACATTTTGTGTATATTTCCCTGTGCTATAAAGTG